TTATTTAACGTATTGACTTAAAATTTGGTATGGTAATATTTTTAAGCTAGTAAATTATAGACATGTTATCAATTTTGAGATTTGACAAAGAGGGCGCTACCTACACTCTACTGAGTAAAAAAACTATTAATTTTTTATTATTGACATTTCTAAAAAATCTTAAAAGTGCACCCTGTAAATTTGAATAAATAACGTATACTTGCTTTAATAGCATAAATTCCTTTCGAAAAATTTGGATTTAAAATTTTCTAGCCACAGTAATTTACTTTTCAAAATTTCAACAAAGTAGGCTTGAAAACTAAAATGAAAATGTCCACCTGTCAAATAATTAATACTTAAATTGTTACTTTTATCACAGTTTATAGTTAAAGAATCAGTTCGCTCACTCTGCGTCGGCACTTTTGATCTCAATGTTCTAGTTTATACACTGCGCAACTCGGATTTGTATCCCTGACGCATACAGAATCAAATCATAACCAATACAATATATGCCAACCGCCTACTATATTCAAATAGCGCTCTTCTGCGCATCCTAAATTTGAATCCCTGGAGTGGAAGTTATTTTGGAACATTCAACTGGTCCAAGTGAGCGAACTGATTCTTTAGCAATAAACTGTGCTTTTATCATGAAATTCCATCTAAATAGTAAAAATGCCACGACTCAACCATTTCTCTATTTCAGCAGAATGTAGGTGGCGCCCTCTTTGTATAATCTCAAAATTGATGAGATGCTTGTGTATTAATAGTCCAAAATGTAACCATACTAATAGGTACATTAAATAAATTTTCATTTTAACACCCTGTATCTTAGAAGTAGATAACATTTGACCCAGTGTTACTTAAAATAGATTTTATTTGTTGCACTAGTGTCACACTCGAGACTGTATTCGAACTGTCATACTTGTCAAAAATGTATGCTGCACGTGTGCTACTGCGATTAGTGCAGAAAACTTACACCTAGTGCAACAAAAGTTCATCATTAGTAAAATATTATTATTTTAAAGTCACGACCAGGTGTGTAATATTAAAAAAATAATACAGATTTACTAAAAGAATTAAAATGTTTTTGTCGTTCATGTAAAATTATAAAAAATCAAGTCATGAGGTTTTGCAGATAGCGTTGATTTGTAAAAAAACTGACTCCTATACAGCGGTCTAACATAAAAAAGATAGTGCTTTGAAATATCAAAATAGAGTAAAACTGCCAAATAAAAATTATCCAAAGATAAGAATTGATTAAAATTGATTAGATGTAGAGTCCTAGATTCAAAAATTCTGAGGACTAGGTATTTATTTTCCATTAATAATAATGATAATGTGAGAAAAAAAATAGTAATAGTAGTAATAACACAAATGAATAACTTTCTGTATTCTTATCGGTTTTTCTATTTCATTAAACATCTACTTATATTTCTAATTTACTAACTCTGCAGATTTTTTTTTCGGATTCCATTAAAGGAAATTGAAACACATTCCATTTTTTAACTTGTTTTTATAATTTTCGCGAAATATAATTGATATTGATAAAAAGAGTGATCTGAAACACTATAACTACTCATTGTTAATGTATGTTTTGTAATAAGGACAATAAATATGGGTTATCTTAGTTTTAGTTTTACTTATTTTTATTTATTAAGGATCTAAATGTAACGCGTGTCGAAAATAAATGCAACTAAATTGTTTGTTTGATTGACTATTGTGTATAATATTATAATAAGTAATGAATCGATGGATTTGAGACAAAATGTACATACATATTACAAGAACAATAGATTAGAAAATTTATTGAAATTATTTTTGTGTAAACTTTTCATAATATTTAAAATACATTAAGTTGTCAACATACGTTTTATATATCATTATTTTACTATATTTAAAATGTCATTTCATTCTTTTAAATATTAAGAATAATTCTCAATAAACCGTTTATGGATAAGTGATATAATCATTATAATTAGTTGCATTTAATTTAAAACACGTTATAATCCCTGAATACCTTGATTCCGAGGTTTTTAGTCTGCAGATTATTTTATTTTTTTACATATTATTAAGCCCTCTACATCTGTAATGAATTAAATCAATGTTTCGACTATTTTGTGAAAATAATTACTTTTATAAACATTTTCATTCCATTTCACTTTTCTAGTATTTCACAAAAACGTAATGTTATAAATATTTTCCATTTATTATAAAGTACTTAAAATAGGTATGATATAAATCAATGTAAAAATTTTGTATGTTACATATTCTTAAAAATATTTAGAATAAGTTGGACAAATCAATTATAACTTGTTTTATAAATAAAGATATTGATTGAATAGTTTTGCTTGATTAAATCATCTGGTACTCCCTATGCTCTACTCATGTCCAAGAAAAATAGATGTAAATAATTGCACTGTATAGGTATGTTGTTTAGGGTTAAACAGGATCACATTAACAACCTATATAATTGTATAGTATATTACATAACAAGTGTGGAAAGTTTAACACTTCGCATAAGTTGAAGTTTAGAACTAGCAGCGTAGCGGCGAGTGCGGAAACTAAACGAGTGCGAGAAATACACTTTCCAACTTTGTATACACTATTTTTTCTACGACCACGTAACAAATTCTTCAAAAAACGTCTTTTCAAATAAGATAGTCAATTAAACAATATCACACATGTACTGAAAAGTACATCGGCGAAAAGTATAATAGTTATTTATGTACCAAGTCAGCAAAGTGATAATTTATCGAACTAGTCTGAGATTATGAGCCAAGCGAGAGAAGCGAGCGAGTAACGAGCGTGTTCGATAAAGACACTTTGCTGACGTGGTCCATACAAACTTTTATTGCCAACCGAAAATAATTATAATTAATAAAAAATTAGATATAACATCACATTTTAGTATGACAACGCGTAAAGAAACAAAAAAATAACAGCGAATACAAAACAAATCAGTTACAGACTATTTCTGTCAGACAGTCATGGCTATGTTGATAAATATTAGCAGCAGATAAAATATTTGATTTTCACAGTGAGATAAAGTGTTTGTTTACTTCCACAAATCGCTATGGTAATGTATGGATTTATTGACGGCTGGCAATAAAAAAACTTTATATCCTCTCGTTTTATACGTAAACCGTTTTAAAGTGATAAACCAGAAAACACTTTAGTTATACCCTTGGTTAACCTTGAAATCAACGTGACTAAAGCCCTAAAAAGATAACCTGTTATTGTAACGCATTAACATTAAAGCGTTTTTAAGGAATGACATAGGGTTGCCACCTTTTTGAAAAGTGTAAAAAGGACTATGATGCTGGCGGAGGATCCGGTATACAAAAGGTCCTTATCCTTCTACTGAACTTCTAAAAAAAAGGTCCTCGAGTGTGTAACACAAAAAAATCCTCGTCCTTCTACCGACTTTCAAAAAAATACAAGCTAGGAGTTTTTCATATATTTTTATTTGTATATTTTTGTACAAACTAGGCCCCTCTCAAAAAGAAATGCCGTAATAAAGGGTATTTTAAGCTTTAAAAAGTCGAAAGGGCATTTTGCTTAAAAAAAAGACAGGTGGCAACCCTAGAATTACACGAAATTTTAACATTTAATTTCAGGTTGATTTTTATTGACCCTAAACTGGAAATTGAGGAAAATTCGTTTACACTTATTAGTAGTGAGTTTTTCCTACGGCTTTTCCTTATGCACATCGATATAACAAATTTAATTTACTACCTTATTAGTAAAGGTATAGACTTTAAGGAAACTGGTCGGAATAAAATTGTGTGATGTTGATATGTTACCAAAAAAAATTATATTTGAAGACTGGATATTAGAATTTAATAAGGAAAAGTTTAACACGTTTTTTACATGATGTAATAGCAATTGTAACTTCCAAATTATACTAAGCGAGTTCTAAACCGCTTCATCGGTCAATGTAAATCGTAAACACCGTAATTTATTCTTTACCTGCGGAAATAAAAAGAACTGGCCTGGACTATATTGCGAATGACCCATTATTATTGCTTTGGGAATTCAAATAGTCATTAGTTCGAGTACCAGTGTGAGCCTGAACGTTATCTTAATGCAAGACGATCTTTTGGACGTTTTTCGCGAACCTTTCAGAGAACCTGAGGCAAGCAAACTGTAGTGTACCATTCTGAATTAACAGTACGTTTATCCTACAGTTGAAACATTCACAGTAATTCCAAAAAAAGTGGCGACCATATTTATGTTTCGGCTTTATTCACGAACAACTTTTATTTGAGCCGATTCATTCTCAAAGGCCCAAACTGACAAGTTCTGCTTTTTTAAAGGATTATAGCAGTATACCCATGTTTCATCATTTTTGATGATGTTGTACACCAAATTAGACGATCCACGGTCAGAGCGAACTAGTGTAGATTTGCAGCATCTTACACGGTCTTCTTTTTGAGCTAAAGTCAAGTTGTGGGGAATCCACCGAGAACGAAGCTTACGGACTTTCAAATATTTGTGCAAAATAGTGTTAATTGCTTCCACACTAATGTCTAAAGTTGTTTGAATGTTTCTGACAGTAATATGCCAGTCCTTTTTAATAATGTTCCGAATAAGATTAATATTGTTTCTGTAACTAGCATTTTTGGCTTAGGAACTCAAAAACTGTCACTTAACGAAAGTTGGCCGCTTGAAATTCGTTGTACCACACTTTACGTTAGTGAAGGAACACGACTTTACACCAAGCACTCGATTGATTTCTTCAAAACATTCTTTACGAATTAAGCCACGCTTGAAATTGTAAAAAAATAACAGCTTGATAATGCTCCTTGTTCATCTCCATTATATATTGGCTAAGAGATTACTCTAAATTTATGTAACTTTAATCAGGTATATTTAACCCCTATCACTAACCAAACTCGTAAACAACTAGATTGAGATTGAAATGTCAGACTAAATTTGTTGCAAAAATATCATCGGCTACTAGATAGGTTCAGCGGAAACAGAACAACCCTCGTATTATTGATTTTTGTTTTTATTTGCAGGAGGAATTGAAACGCGACATTTTGGAGAATCGTAAGTACCTTTAAGTATATAATAATTATAAAATAACTAGGTCCAATAGTATCAGCACTTACAAAAGTGTTTATTATTGGCCTAATAAGTTGAGTGTTAGTAATTTGGGTCCCGACAGGCCATAGATAAAATATGTAAATTTAAAGGCACTAGTGCAATAAAAATTTTATTGCACCCATCTGTCATTTTACTACAACGTTTTATGATCATGACAAACATAAATATTCAAATCGACGCCAAATATTTAGTCCATTTTCATTTTCTGTGAGATTGTATTACGTTTTAAAAACAATTGCATATTTTATATTATTTTCAATCATTTAATAAATAAATAAAAAATATTTTTTCTTAACATAGTTATAGTACTTTTTCAATGTTAATCGATGCTAATTATTAGTTATTAAATATTTTGCTATTAAATTACGCTTTTTATTCTTCTGCACTTAGTGTCGCTTGAATAAAACATTTTTTGGTTTTTGCATGAACGTAGAAAAAATATTGTACGCAACTCGTGCAAAAAGTGTTTATTGCACTCGACGTGTTGTTGAAGACAATTTCACGTCGCATGCAATAAACACTTACTATTTACACTTGTTGCATAAATAACTATTAAGCCTATGAATATAATAAAAAAAAATAATTATCAACATTTTTACTTCAAGGCATAAGCTTTTGTCTATTTTAAAAAACATGGATGATCAATCTATATTACTCTATTCATTGACCCTGTCAAATCACCTGGCCTACAGGGTTGCCAAATTATAATTTGTCAAAACCCACTGGGGGTCGATTCTCGACTCGTAGGAATATTTTCCTATAGGAATTTTTGACATTTTTATGTACATCGAAAATTTATGACATTTTCCTACATATAGGAAAGTGTCACAAATTCCTATAGGAAAAGGTTCCTACAAGTCGAGAATCGACCCCCTGGTAGTTATTTTGTTTGGATTACCTAATATGACACCAGCCCTGATATGACCCGCTTTTCGTCGTCTTGTTCATATATTATGAGCAGTCTATATAAACTATATGTCATTGGATCCAACGGTATGCTTTCTGTACTTATGTTTTTTTATTCAAAATACAATTTTTATAGATAGGTAATTATTGATTTTACGAGTTGCCTATCAAAATATAGCACTAAGTACTAAGGGTATATTTCTGTTATTTATGATTATAGAAGAAAAGTCTGTCAACAAAAGTTGTTATATTATTCTCTATAATTTTGGTAAAATACGTGATTTCTCTAAAATGGACCATTGCGGAGAAATTTGAAGAAAAGTACGAGAAAGTGCAATCAACCAGTTGATTATTAAGTTCGCAGTTTATCCAATTACTGTGGATAGTTGTAAACTAGCAAAAAACACAAGTTAATTTGTGTACTTTTCTTATGGTTTGTACTTTGGCGATAAATCTTGTATAGTTTGTAAACCTGCTATACTATACAAACCAACCAAAAATTATAGATATTTTAGTAGAAGGATTTTCCGTCAAAATAGCCAGACATTTTGATAGTTTGTATACGTAATATCCAGGTGGTCTATAAACTACCCAAACGTCTATAATAAAAATTGTATTCTAATTAGAAAACAGATGAGTGCAGAAATCTTAGACCAGAAAGCTTAATTTATAACCGCCGTAATGTAACTTAAGAACTTAACGTAAGAAGTTGAAATAGAGAGTTGAAATGATGTTATAAACGTAAACGTATACGTGAAATTTGACATCTGCGCATGCCTATTAAAATATCCTTCACGTTTACGTCTACGTACATACGTAAACTTACGGGCTCTGGCGTATACACGTAACGCAAACAAAATAACCTCTTTTTAATAGGAAAAGTAGAAATCCCAATATAATATGTCATTAATTGTCATTATTTGTCATAATACGTAAATGTCACGATGCGTTTAACAATTTCAACTCATATTTTGTACAGCAACGTAAACATTATTTTTCTACGTTCACGTTCACGTTTACGTTAACGTACTGGAAATACTTCAACTCTCTAATATTGAATTTACGTATACTTATTTATAAATGTTTTTAACGTAACTTAAGAACTTAACGTACCGTAGAAAGTTCGCCAACTTTTAACTGAACAACTTAAGACCTTACTGTCAGCCAAAGAGATAATTCTGAGTTCAGCATGTGAAAACTGACAATTATTCTTTTTATTTTATTTTTACTTTCCTATCTGTATACAGATATAAGGAAAGTATAGCAATCATGATTTTTTTCGACCTCGAGTTTTCGACGGATTTTTACGTTTTGAGGTCCCCTGAATCCGTTTTGACTATTTTCGCGATGATGTCTGTGTGTGTGTGTGTGTGTGTGTGTGTGTGTGTGTGTGTGTGTGTGTGTGTGTGTGTGTGTGTGTGTGTGTGTGTGTGTGTGTGTGTGTGTGTGTGTGTGTGTCTGTGTGTGTCTGTGTGTGTCTGTGTCTGTGTCGTGTGTGTGTGTGTGTGTGTGTGTGTGTGTGTGTGTGTGTGTGTGTCTGTATAACGCATAACTCATGAACCGATACACGGAAAAACACCAAATTTCAAACTTAAGCTTTATTCCAGCGTCTAATGAGCCGATTAGATTTTGGGCAGAGTCGGAACATCTGGGGGGATACTTTATAGGTGGTCATTTTTATATTTTATGGAATATATCTGTTATTTACGTTTGGGGAAGAAAATTTTTTAAATAAAAGTTACTTTATTTATTTATTATCTATAATTTTTGTCATTTACAAAATTTTCCTAAAATGGTCCGTATTCGAGAAATTTGACAAAATGTAAAAAAATATTTTTTTTTATAAAAATTGTTCAAACAAAAGTTGTTTGTTATATAATTCTCTATAATTTTTGTCCCATAGATAATTTCTCTAAAATGGACCGTATTCGAGATATTTGAGAAAATGTGTAAATTTAGAAATTTGAAGAAAACTCAAAAACGGATAAAGAAAAAAATCAATAAATTTTAAACTTAAGTTTTATTTCGGCCTGACGTGAAATGATTAGATTTTGGACAAAGTCGGAACATCTGGGGGGTACTTTATGGGAGGCCGTTTATATATTTTATGGAATATATCTGTTATTTATGTTTGGAGAAGAAAATTGTTCAAATAAAAGTTACTTCTAATATTATTATCTATTTTTGCCTTACGTAAAAATTTCCTGAAATGGTCCGTATTCGAGAAATTTGACAAAATGTGCAAAATTCTGATTTTTATGAAAATTGTTGAAATAAAAGTTGTTTGCGATATCGATCTCTATAATATTTGTTCATACATGATTTTTTTTAAATGGACCGTAATGGAAAAATTGTAGGAAAAGTGCTAAATTTAAATTTTTCAGTATTTTCATTTTCAATGAATATCTATAGAAAAATGTTTCGCGGTAGATGTATGTGGACAATGTATATATATATTTAGTTTATCCTCTAAACATTTATAGAGATGCTGCAATAGGTTGTACACAATAAACGGAAAAAGCCTGTAATAACTAGATAGGAAAGTCATGTGTTGGACACATCAGATTTTTTTTATAAATGAATGGACAAATACCATTTGTAAACTATCATTCTCCTTTTTTATGGACATACATTATCATGAATGATTTGTGTTTATGTTATTGGGGATAAACTATTTATGAGATATGAGTGTTGCTGCATATATCCATAAACATCAAGTCTAGAACTGAAATAAGATACAAAACTACCCAGACAGAACACCAAATCCTTTGGATATCTACTGAACATCCCAATATCCACTGAATGTCCAGTCCATATAAAATATTTTGCTGAATATCCGAATTCTTCTATATCCTGGGATATAGACGGACATTTGGTTGGATATCCATATTGGATATATTGGATATCCACAGAATATATTCTGTGGATATCTCTGGGATTTCTTGTATTGTCTGGAAGATACTCATTAGATATTTTGCTGGATATCCATATGATATCTTCTATATTCTGGATATAGACGGACATTTGGATATCCATATTAGATCCACGGAGTATTTCTGATATCCTGTGGATATATTGGATATCCACAAAAGATATTCTGTAGATATCTCTGGGATTTGATGTGTTGTCTGGGTATTTTGCTAGGAAAGATTAAATTCTCATTATTGCTCAAAAACAATCAACATCTTCGGTAAACTATTCTGTTTTATTATATTTTTATATTATTGCTTTTAAAGTAGTTAATATATTCTTTCTATATAGCAAAATCATAATTTATAAGTTTTATTTGTAGGTTAGGTATATAGTTATTTACACTTGTTTATTTCATAAGATTGTCAGTAATTTGATAATCTCTGAAATAGAACACGCATGCTCAACTCTTACGTTACGGACATTTATAAATATAGACTTTATTTTTATATTTTACGTTGTTTCACGGCGTTAAGTTAAGTTACGTTACGGTGGTTATAAAATATACTTAAGCCCTACTATAGCCCACTACAGTTGGGAAAGGCTTTAAACAACCGTTATGCTTCTTTTGAAAAATAATTAATTTTGCATTTTGTTGTATTATTTCATAACTCTAGAGCGCCCCGAGCGTGGTCTATAGAACAAAGACCCATATTTCAGACATATTTATTATAAACCGTTTGTTATTTTTTGCAGTAGCGACACTGAAAGTGCTGATGTGAGACCAAAAGAATCAAAGAAACCAAACAAACTCACCTGCTTGTTCAAAAAGAACAAAGACCAGGTTTCTTCAGAACCCGAACCAGAACCGAAAACTTTGGAACACTCCGAAGAAGCGGAGTCTCAAACGAAATCTCCTTTTCCAGAAGGCGACGAGAGAGCTTTAGTATACGCCGAATTGGACCTGGTCAGGGCCGATATGGTGCCTGTTGTAAAAAACGATGACGAAAAAACGGAATACGCGGAAATTGTATACACGCAAAACGAAGATAAGGAACCGCCTAAGAAATAAATTCTTAGTTTTAAGTTTTAATTAAGTATCTTTATACAGTGCTGCTTCAAATCTTCGGGCTTGCTTGGGTTTTCAAGTGAAAAATAACTGCATATGCACGAGAAGTATCAATGTAACAAGCCTGGTTGGCTTTGTATGCGATCTGGCAACGTCGATACTATATCGTTTCTTTTCGTGCATATGCGAATGTTATTCATTATTTATTTAAACACAAACAAAGCAGGTTTGATCTTGCAAGCACTGTATATTTTTTTATACACTTTGATGTAAATTGATTCCCAAACAGAAATTGTTTGAGAAAAAGATTTATATGGGTCAGTTTTAATTTTTAAATATTTGTAGGATGTATGATGTGTGTCAGTGTCTTTGTTAATTTTTCTTGATGCCATTTACAAATATTACTGTTTTTTATGTTTTTTACCATAGTAACTAATTTTTTGAAGTGGGTAATGCTATTTTTTAATTATTGAGATTCTCAGAAATTTTAATATGGTTGATAAAGAAAAGTTAACTAATGACAAATCATTATTTACTAGAGATGTTTAATATTGTACATGATATTAAAAAAGCCAGCGAATAATCAAAATATACATAGGTATTATGTAAAAATAGAAATCAACTTATATCACAATTATTTTTAGACTTTTATTATTAGGTTGAGAGTTTAGAGCACTTTTTCTTATAAGATATGACCACTATTTTACCGATTATAGAGTACTAGATTTTTCACCTCTACACCTATGAAATTTTGTCGTTCATTTTCGGTGAAGGTCGTGTGGTTGGTGTCAAAAGTAATGGACTATTATAGTTCAGTGTATGTGATATGCGATTAATATGCATATAATCAATTAAAAATAGGCCGTATCTGTATATATATAGAGTTGATAGTAGGTACTGTCGTTAACGCAATATATAAAAATAAAAATTGATAAACAGAATATAACAAAAAGATGTACAATAAACTTAACCATAATTTCTGCGATCGAAAATAAGTCTAAGCTAACTTGGTCATATAAAAAATGGATAGTAAAAAATTACAGGGTGTTAAAGTAGAAATTGTACAAGTGATTTTGTGCTAGTATTCTAAAATGGCTTGACATATTTTTAAAATGTACATGAGATGTTATTAACAGTGACCAATAAAATGGAGTGGCTTTTAAAATGTTTTTAATTATACAGGATTTTAAAAGGGTTCCGCACCCCACTTACTTTTTTTAGATAATGGAATTTAAAAACAGGACGCCGCGGAAATGCTACATTTGTTTTAATTTTTTTTCCTTTTACTATTTTTTTGTAAAATTCTTAATTACTGAGTTATAGGCTCCCAAAAAGAAGAGGGAGCAAATTAAGTGTCTTAGAACAATCGCAATAAATGTAATCTTACTAATAGACCATCAGATAGTGAGAGGTTCAGGTGCCCCATTTTCGCATGCAAGCCTCGAAGAGTATTTTGAGTAAAATTAAAGGAAATTTACGATAACATGAAAAGTTCGATGTTCCTTCACAAAAATTAAAGGTATTTGTTGCTCATATTTTCACGCAAGCCGTGTTCACTAAATCATTAACTAATAGAACTAGGCGTCGGAAAACCAAAGGCTTTAATGTTGTAAGTGGCTAAAGGGCCGAATGAATGAAAACGTACATCATCACTAGTTCAAAAACATATTGGCTTAAATAACCCGAACGGATAAAGGCATTTTGGGGTCATAAACTATTTCTGTTAGAGAAAACCGAATTTTCCATGTGTTATCCCCAAGAGCAGCAAAAAATAATAAACAAGAAGAGTCACCTGGCTTTCTAGATTTCATTTGGGGTTCACAAAAACGAGCCGCCCCACCGCGACCCGAGAAAAGGTTACAACAATGCCCAAGCACAGCCGCGTTAAAATACGATAAAATAAAGTGGAGCTTACAGTGACTCTACTCGTAAATTTATATCTATTCTACAACGATGTACTTTTCATCCCTCTTCGAGACTTGTATGCGAAAATGGGATATCTAAATCGGTCAGTATCTGACGATCTATAATGAACGCGCACCTCAAATAGTGCTCTTATAACTCTCAACATTAATGTGTTTTTTATGTATTTTAAAATTTTAGAACCTAATTTTAACAATTTTCTGTATGTATATTTGTTAGGAATCTTTTTAGATTTTTTAGAATTATGAGATTATTTTTTAACAGAGACACTCCCTAATGGACTTGGGGGTGTTTTTTAGATCTGATTTGTATTAAGAGAGCATAGATAGTAGGATGGAAATTAAAAGCAAATGTCCATCAGTGCAATGAGTTTCAAAACAAAACAAAACAACATCACGTAAAGTAAAAAAATTTTTAGCTTCGAAATAAAACTGCTCACAAATAAAATTTGTTCGATATTTTTCTTGTATGTATGAAATAAATTGGTTGTGTTATTTTCTGCCATATACTTATAATATATCCAATATCTTTTCTTTCAGTATATTTTGCTGTATACCTCATTTCCCACTTATTAATTATTCTGGTCCAAAATTAACTCTTGATTTTGGCAAAAATTGAACTAAATTGATTGATTACTGAAATTTTACTTTAATTATTACAATATAATAATAATTAATAATAATATTTATTAGAGCTATTAAACAGCCACTCTTTAGAGTATTTATAAAGCCTTTTGTTTTTCACCAAATTTTATTATAGATGTATTATTTCCTTTATTAAAATGAAAGATTTTGTGATTTACTGGATCATTTCACTTAATTATCGATTTATACCATTTAGAAAAATTTTATGACAATAAATGGGAGGTGGTGGGGTTTTCTTTTCTTTTTTTAATATTTTCCCGAACTAAAAAGAATTTTCTTTCGTATCGGATTTTTAATTTATTTAAGTATATATGTTTGTAGATTTAAAAAATATATTTAAGAGTAATTAAGAAAAATTACAGATTAGGTTTATCATGTAATAGGTACAATAGAAAATGAAAAAAATGGGATATTCATGCCCTTTTTTAACATTGTTACAGCAATATTTTAATATATTTTCCGTCCATTTGTATGTGCATTAAATTTTATTAATTTACAATGTGTTTAAATAATACCTAATGTAAATAAGTTGACTTAGGCTAGCGTTACATTAGGCAGAAGTTCGGCCGCCAAAAATTAGCTGCAGATTTTCCACCGATCAATTTAGATGGATCTTCTGCTCAATGCAGCGAGTTAATTAATTACTCGATAAGAAATTTTAATAGTAAAATAAAATATTGTCTGCAGCAGACGTTCTATTGCTGAATATCGGCGGCTCAGTACCTTCATAATCCAGCGCTAGTCTTATATTAACTAAAGGTGTGTACAAACTAGTAATTGGTTTGAGAACTATACTTGAATAGTTCACGATCAATGTTAAAATTGTTTTTTTTTAATGTATAAGTTTCGTCATTAGTTTTAGTATTAGAAATATATTAATTGGCTTACATTATAGCTCTAGCAGAGCTTTTCATCACCTACTCGTTAATACTTTTTATTATGTTACTGTTTTGTTCCAAAATTTAACCGAATAATGGCCGGTTTCCGATACATTTCGTTGTTGAAAGAATAAAGTTATGTGTCCAATAAATAATAAAGCGTTTCTAAGAACTTATCTATATATAATTATCACTCGATAGTAATCCATCATATAACTAGGTTTGATATATTCTCACTAGATGGACATTAACAATTTAACGTTATGTGGTCTTCTTTATGTATCGGAAAATGGAAAGCTAATTTTCCAAAGCTTCCAGAAACTTTACAGATGTCGATAAAATAAATGTTATTCGAGATGGTCATTGAGCACAGATAAAAAATACCGTTGGTACAAGTGTGAAAGAGGAAAATTCTCTTATGTTATGTTAATTAGTTCAACCATGTATGTTCAGTAAATCTAAAACGGTGCCTATATTCTTCAAAAGGATCATTTCTAACGCGAAAATGGCGAACAATGTCTATAATTTCCAATATTTCCTCATCGAGAATCTTAAATTATACATTTTAAGTTTATTTATTCTTTTCCTGATATTTGAGTAACAATAATATATTATATTTATAAGAAATGTCAAGTTATGATCTGCTAACTGGCATGTGTCAGATAGGTACTTATCGAATACATACAAAATGGCAAGATATCTATTCGATAACTTATAGAACGGATAATTCTTGTTGTGCGTTTCGGAAACCAAATTTCTCTAGTTATCCCTTTGTTAACACATATCTACTATTTCAGAAACCGGCCATTAACGAACCAAAGAACAGTATCTAGCAATTTCTGGTATAAACAGAGTTATCAAAACATATTGTGACAATTCCGCATTATTTCTTGATAGATCTCTGTCACCGGCTGTTCACGAATAGCTCTCAAATTTAACTTGTACGTTAACCCTCTAAAGAAGGTTCTTTTTCCTAAACACGTGTGCTGGCCGGAAATATTTTTTTATACTTACACACTTTGGGGTCTATTCTGTAACAATTCCTTTATATTTAACGGCCTTTAAAAATATTTTCTTCTTTACTTCTGTCATTATTTAAACGGATCTTTAAAATACATTAGAGGACTATCTTAAAGAAATCTGTTTAAAAAATGACAGAAATAAATTAACGAATACGAACATATTTTTATAGGCCGCCAATATTTTTAAAGGCTGTTAAATATAAAGGAATTATTACAGAATAGACCCCATTGTCGCTTATACGCGACCTCTATTTTAAAACAATTTGTATTTTTTGCGGTGTTGCCTGACGATATCAACAATACTGCCATGATTTATGCGTGTTCGCTTACTTATTGTAAAGTACGTGGTCAGTTGCCGTTCGGCGTTGCCACATGTAACAGTTTTACCTAAGTCTCTTCCTAGGTTTAAAATTAGGTTGCTTGTAAGGGACAAAGGCTATACGATTTGCTTAGGAATGCCGGTCAAAAGGTTCGGCCATAATATGTGTTTAGAAAATAACATATTTTCAAATGAATACATAGGATATCATGATTATTTTTAACCTTTGTCGCTTATACGCAACTTTATAGGCGGAATTTGTCAAATGTATGTTTGTTTCATTATCTCCGGCATAATATTACATCACCAATTTACATCAC